GGATAAATAAAGACCACCTGACATACCATTAAACATTTTTACCAGTAACAACGGATGAGTCAACGGAAAACATTGAGACCAGACACTAGTGGATCGACGGATTCCTATCACAAATGCCTACAAGAAATTGTTGTTACAGAGATGGCTCAGTGAGCGGGTCTGGGACTTTTTATTGAAGATCCATATACCGTAATCTCTTTTTGCTTCCCCAATCATAATCCAATCCTTCTAGCGGAGGTGCGGATGATTGCAGAGTGTCTGAACTGGCTTAATGCCAACACGAGACCGGCTACCGTAAACGTCCTATTGGATAGTAAGATCGCAATAAAAGCTATAACATCCAAGACAGTTAATTCCAAAATTGTGTGGAATGTATAAATTTAATCAGCAACTATTCTCAACACGGCTCAATAAGCATTATATGGGTACCAGGTCATGCGGGGATCAGAGGTAACGAGATAGCGAACTCTCTCGCCGAAAAGAACTCTCACATATCCCTATGGAACAACGAAGACCTAGTGAAACCACAAATATATAATGGGGTAAGAAAGAGGTCTGTGGGGTAACAGGCATCCATGCGGATCACCTGGGCCTGGATGCTCATTTGTACAGGATAGCATGTCCAGATAACAGCATATGAAGGACATGAGGGGAAGATGATAAAACTTTGGAGAATTTTCTCTGCCAAAGCCCAGCGTTTGCAAATATGAGATCCCAATTCTTAGGGAACGACTCCATACCAGACCTAAATCAGATCATGGTAAATCAAATAAAAAAGCTAATGAATTATGTTAAGGCAACTTAATTCCTTGATATAAACTGTAAACTGTCCGTCTTCTTTCAATAACTTTAGTCAAGAGCACACATGGCCATGTGGCGATTTTTTAGCCCCTCTTTTCAACCTAACCTAACTTACTATGAATTCGTGATAGCGAAACGAGCAATTATAAAGCAATTTCTTTATTTCATCATCTCTAACTTCGCGTTATAAAAAACTAAATCTTTTGCTATTTTTGCAACTTTAAATTGGCTGAAATATTGATTTTTAAGGATTGTCATAAAATTTGTTTCTCCTCCTCCTACCTTCAGAGCAAAGTAGTTCCCTTAAAAAAGGGTTCAGCAATGCGTTGTTGTTAAAATTTTGCTTTTGAAGACCTCCGCACAAGTATTAGATATCAAATGGCTAAATTCAATAATATTTTAAATACAGAAATAAAATGTCATCATATTTTTTTTTTTTTGTACTCGGTTCATTTAAACAGTTGCTCGAAAATTGTAATAATTTTAAAAATTTCTAATTTCCCACAATGACATCTCAATATTTATGGATGCTTCGGGGTAATTCATACTCAAATCCCATTCGGTAGGATTTATTGTAATTTCCCCATATGTTTAAGTATTTCGACTCTCTCCAAAAACATCAATAAATGACAATTTTAAGTAGCTCAAGTACTTCCTGGAAATTAAATCTAAGGCAAACTATACATACACATGTATTTGAAGCGTCGGCAAAACATCTGCTTTAAATGAAAATTCAAATCATCATTGAACATAGTCTGAGACTGAATTGAATATTGTAATTTGAAACTTTGAGGAAACACTTAGAACATAAAAATGTCACTTGAACTCCTCAAAAAAAAAAAAAAAACGCCACTCGTGTATATTTATGAGCACACGAAAGGAGACAAGTGAAGACACCCAAAATGTGACAATGTTGTGTTGTGTTCCTCCCCAATTGGAAACATTTGCCCATCTTCTCGGGCGTAGACATATGTGTGCGAGAGGGCTTAACACTGAACAGGGTTTCAAAAATGCATATTTCATGAAAACTGAAACGACAACGCCTATGCACGGTCGTCCCTCTTCGATTTAAAGTGATTAAGTCTTTGGAAACACATTCAGCCATATGCAGTCGCTGTTGCTGTTGCGTGGTCCAAATTTAGATCAGTTCCAGGCAAACACGAGATGACATTTAAAGTCATTTCAGCGTTACGAAAAATCTACAACAGCCGTCTTAAAGACATCAGCCGCATTTTTTTTTTAGTTTCATTTTAAAATTTAAAAATAAATGCATTAAGTTGGAATACGCACATGGATGCAAGTCGCACATAACGGCATTGTTGCTGCATTTTTATATCTCTCGCTCTCTCACTCTGCATCTCCATGTGCATCGTTGGGGTTCTAGAAATATGCACATGTTTGGGTTGTTCCTGTTTTGTGTTCCATTTTTACAATACTTCCTCCCCCATGGGCAAATGGCGTTGCTTCATTTCCATGCTCGCCGTGGAAATGTCATTTAAATGTTGCTGGCTCTTCTTCTTCTTCGTTTCCAAGGCTTGCCATGATTATTTCAAGATTTTAGCCTATTTTTAAATTGTTTTGCGCAATGGCTGCTAGGAATCTTAAAGATTTCATATGTCAAAGGCGACATGTGCTCAGACAATTAAAATGACAGGGCGAAAGAGAAACTCATCTCTTTTGTAGATGAAAATGTGAAAAATAAATAATTCGATAGGGACGCATGCTCACAAAACATGGAAAACATTTTTTTTTTTTTTTTTTAAGAAATCCTTTTTGTATTTTCCAAAAGAGAAATACACATTGTAATAGAAAACAAATCTCTAAATTCTTAATTTTCATTGTTCCAAAATTCCATTGCCAAATTCAAGGTGTATTTTATGTAAACGCCAGAATACACATGATGTTAGAGTCATATGTAAAGTGACTTTTTCGACAAGTTTGTAGCATACTTCTAGACGCTCGCTCACGAAATTTTAATATAAAATGAAACGTTTCATAGCATATGGTAAATTAATATAAATATACTAAAAGTATGGCATAAATAAATTGCAAATGTATTTTAAGTAATGCATAGTATATAGATTATATAGCGTAGCGTTACTTTGAGTTTAAAAATTGTTGATAGTTCCCTAAAGTATGCTATAAAAATTAAAAATGTGAATGCTCGCTTTACATATAACTCGAACACAATGTCCAATCTGTCCTTACAGGTATATGACAATTTAATAATATTTTTTTCAAATTTATTAGGTTCCTCCTTTGAAATTTCCAAGTTTTATACTTAGCTTTGTAAATAGCTCTAAAACGAGCCATAAAAATTTTAGAAATATAAATCGTATCAGATTTACGCCTCCTAAATACAAACGATTAAATGCCAATTTCTAAATCTTTCTACATAATTCGGTGAAATATTTCCGAATTATTATAGAATAGTTTAATATTAAAACAAGTAAAAAATAGCTAACTTTTAATATCCTCCATCATTTTGAAGGAACTTGAAAATTTTCAAAAAAAAAAAAAAAACCTTTTGGCATAGGCTGTTGTACCCATTACGAACTTTAATTACAAAATTTGAAACAATTCAGGCAAATAATAGAGCTAGAATCATCAAAATATCGAATATGGGGATATATCGACCTATACGGGGGGTATACGAAGGCGTTAACCAACATACGCGATTTTTTGTTAAAGGTTGTAGTAACCATTACGAACTTTAAATAGAAAATTTGAAACAATTCTGGTAAAAAAATGTAGTTAATATCATCAATACTGAGAGGTACCGGTATATTTTTGTCATACATTGTAGTACCCAAATATCGGGAGGTATACTTATATGGGGCTGTATCACGAACATAAAATACGAAATTTGAAATAATTCCGGTAAAAATATCGCTGAAATCATCAGAGTACTGAATAGTAGGATCCACTGTTGTATGGGGGCTATATGAAAACGTGGACCTACATGGCCCATTTACGAACTTAACCTGCCAACTGGCAAAATACACATGTGTGCATTTTTTTTTAATTCGTTTTAAAGATAGCGTGATTACAACAAACAGACACACTGACAAACCGACATCGCTAAATCGACTTAAGTCTGACATGAGTATTTCGAGGAGTTACAAACGTACAGTATGGAGAGGGTTGCAGCACTGTTATTATTAATAGATTTATTGATATTCAATTTCTGGTGAAATGGTTAATTTGCTAAATGGTTTAACAATGAGAGCATTTATGCTGATTTATGTATTATACTTCGGATCGAAAGGCTTTTGAATTGTATGTGCTCAAAAAATTTAGTCATTAAAAGCTGCACGAGACGTATATTTAAAATTCCTCATTTTGAAGTAAAATATTGCAAAAAAAAATATTTATTTTGAATTAACAATTTTGAATAACTCATCCAGTGAAATTTTTGTTTACACCCTATCAAAGTATTGACAACTCAGGAAGTAATTCTCTTTTGATTTTTCAAGCCAATTTTATGTTATATGCCTTTCAAGAAAAGACAATAAAAGAGAATATTGTCCATGTAGAACTTTTTATATCTCCTCTTACATCGCCTGGCAAAACAAAACCCTTTCTCCAAGACAAAATCCTTAAAAAACTATGCCTGACCTTATTGTGAATTGCTATATATTTCCAATTTTTGGTTTTCGACATTGCTAGTGTTTTACTCAACTTCACCACTGAAGTTTGCAATTAGCTTCACGAACAAATACTCTTTATTCACCTTTAGTTCTCCACAATTTGAAGTTGGCAATGTCGTGATAAATTCAACTCTAGTAGAGCCTTAAACCTCATCGAAGATGAGCGCCATCTAGCAGCGGATAGTTGAAAATAATTTCTCTCCTTCATGAGTACTGTATTACCGTCTTCAAGTGAGGTGAAAATATAACCCGTGTTATCGACATGTTCCCATTCTTTGCGAATAAAAATTGTTTGAATGTTGATTCAAAAATTTAAATCGCTGTGGTATTATTTTCATATGTCATAACTGGAAAAAACTCAAAGGAACAGAAAGGAACAACTCAACGGGAATATATGATAACAAAATAATAAAAATACTCTACCTATACTCCGAAATTTCGTAAATATTAGTTATATTCGAATTTTATTTTTTATTAATTGATTTTATTATTAATTAGTTATAATTTTTAATAAATAAAATATTAAACAAAAATTTTTGTTCATTTTAGATTGTTTATGGACCTGATGGCCAACCCGTGCGTCCTGAGTTAAAACGTGGCCGCGGCAAAGGAAAGACTCCAGCTGGAAGTGCAACACCAACGACAGGGGTAAGTTTATTAGAGTTGTTTAAAAATTGAGTTTGACGAGGGGATATCTTGTCAAACACAATTTATAAATGTGTAAAAATCGCCACAGTGTAAATAGCTGCAATAAACATAGATATCACAAAGTGCGGTACACCTAGAATTAAAAGCACCCATGTTAGAGAATAAGAGCTTAAATTTTTTGATTTAACATCACCTTACTTCATTTATTACAAAGGCAAAGACAAACCAAAGCATTCAGTAAGAAAAGTTGGAAAGGACCCTGAAACCCCCCCTTGTCAGGGTTTCAACCTTTAGATGGGTTATTTCAAACCTATATAAACTATTTCCCTACGAGAACATGTTGAAATAAATAAGTTGCCTAAATATAAAAATTCAACCCCTTTCTGGTGAAGATGACGGCCAGGCCTACCCGCTATATATCGCCTATCGAGACGTTGACCGATGTTGAAAATTGTTCGCAAGTAGAATTTTCACTCCACGAGAATCCAAGATATGAGTACAGCATTGAACATGTTCGGCAGGGAGGATTTGTAATCTGCGAGAGAAGAAATATAACCTATTGAAAGCCCAGGCTGATTCTGTTGAATTCCCTATGTGAGGTTATATCAAATAATCCTCGACATAATTCTAGTTTCTTTGCAAAATTTGCAAACGTTCCAAAAAGAAAAATTGCCATCTATCTTGATTTTAACATGAGTCGGCTTAATAGGGTTTCAGAATTTTTTTTCAAAAAAACTGCAAATGGAAATACAAGATTTAATATACACCCACTAAAAACCTATGGAGAAACTCAAACGAGGATAAGGCTACGTTTACATCCAATCGCGTTAACATCATAATTAGTATATAATGGTCTTCCTAAGTTTCATGCTTAATAATATTTATTGAGGTCACCTACATTCCAAGCCAATTTTAGAAGATAGACTAATGAATATATAAAGAACAGAATGTTGTTTTTTTCGCTCAGCACTCCTTTGCACTGTCAACACTCGTATCCGAAATTGCCGTATTTTTTGATGTCGTCATATAGAGTACACCTACATTTAATTATAGAATAGGACATAGACAACATCTGCTGATTTGATTTTTTTTATGATAAGCGGAGAGAGCATTCCGTTATCTGAATATTCATAGGTCTATTGTTCCAGTCTTAAATTGTCACAACAAGGTAGAAATGGTACAAATAAAATAAGTTACGGAAACGTCTATAGGCATTGTTAACACAAGTACTACCTTCAATAAACCATCTACAATAATAATCGATACCATTGTAATAACTTTCCTTTAACTTTTTTCAGCCACACTCAGGGTGTTCTAAACGCGTGAAGAATTTACCCTTACACCTACCTCGCAACCTTGACGCCTCTGAAACCCACAGATTTCCAAAACTTTTCTTCATAGTCTATAAATATTTTCATTAATGATCTTCCAAGAAGAAAATAGGATATTTTCATTTTCGTATTTATCGTTGAAAACAAAGGTCTTCCACCTTTTGGTGCGACAAACCAACTTTAATGGGATTAAATCTCCTAAACATTGTTGACAGTGTCATTAACTTTTAGTTGTTGCCTTGACAATGAATTTCCATGAAAATATAACAAAACTGAACCGAACAAAAAAAAAAACGTAGGAAAAATATTGCATAATAATTTTTCCCTCATAAAAGCCATCCAGCCTGTCAGCCAACCAGTCAGTCAGTCAGTCAGTCAGTCATTCACTCTATTCGTGATTCATTGATTTGTTTTGTTGCCACATTCTATTGTTGTTGGGTTCATTGGTGTAGTCGGCTTTTCTTTGTTTGTGGCCCAGACTGTTGGCTGGCTGGTTGGCTGACTGGCGCATTGTGTTGACGGAAAGTGAAAAAATACAAATCGCCGCTTTTATGCCTTCATCGCATTGCGTTCGCAAGAATTAACATCGAATCTGTCTGGCAAATGTCTAACGTCGAACATCTAACGTAACTTCTGTCTGGTGTGTCACAAATTCATCAACGTCATCAAAACATACGACGCCGGCCATAAAGGAAAGAACAGCAACAAAAAAAACGAAACATGCTAGACATGATACTTAGCAAAAACAGTCAACACTGACACAAGACTTTGTCTGTGCCTTACCTACGGCTGGCTCTCAGAGAGCTTAGAACGGCATGAATGGTGGTTTCTTTGTTGTTGTTGTTAAATACTTACAAAATTGATATTAATGACAGTCAAGTTCTATGATAAATGATACTATCAATAGCTGAAAAGAAAGAAAAACAAACTTTTTGGCTTAAACGATAAGCAGAGGATACGTCTATTTGTATTTCAGACGTTTCGACACTTTTAGGTTATTAGGGGAAGGAAGGGCAAAATGTCAAATCATTAAATAAACAATCAACAATTTTAGTGTTATCCATCCGAAAAAGTGATTATGATTATATAATAGTTTAATACAATTGTTTTATTGTCTTTAATTAATCTAGAGGTTTGTTTACATTTTAGAGTTTTACCGATATAAACGATATTATTGATCCACTTGATCTACTTGACATATTATGTCGCTTATTTACTCAAAGAGTGTCCTATCTAAAAATTTCACTTCCCGAATAAAAAAAAAATTATTGCACAAAAAGTAATATAACTACATAGACAATTACAGCCTGTTTTTGTAGAAAAAAAGTATTCGTTTAAATTTGTTTTTTTTTTTTATTAACAATTTTGAAAGCTGTCGTCCATTTCCCGGAAAGTTTTGATGTCAGTGTCCATAACCATTATTTGGTTGTTTTTTTATATCCTCCACCATAGTATGAAGGGTATATTAAGATTGTCATTCCGTTTGTAACACCTCGAAATATACATGTATATATAAAGAATATACAAAATATATATCCTTGATCAGCATAAAATTCTATATCGATTTAGCGATATCCGTCCGTCTGTGCAAATGTATATTATGTCTTCAGGACGTTTGGTATTGAAAATAGGCCATGTAGGCCCACGTTTTGGTATAGCCCCCATATAATGGTACCTCCCGATATTCGTTATTTTGGTGATGTAAGCAACACTATTCACCGGAAATGTTTCAAATTTGGTATTTGAAGTCCGAAATGGATACTACAGCATAAGACAGAAAATTGTTCGTGCAGGTCCTCGTTTTGGTATAGCCTCCATATGGTGCCTCCCTATTTTCGGTATTTTGGTGATTTAAGCGACACTATTCACGGGAAATATTTCAAATTTGGTAATTGAAGTTCGTAATGGATATTACGGCCTATGACAGAAAATTGTCTATGCAGGTTCACGTCTTTTTATGATTTTAGCCACATAATTCATCGGAATTGTTTTAAATTTGGTATTTGAAGTTCGTAGCGGATACTGATGATAGAAAATTGTCTGTTCAGGTCCACGTCTTCGCATAGTCCCATATAACGGTACCTCCCGATATTCGGTATTTTGCAACATTATTCACCAATTTTATTTTCCAGTTTTGAATATTGTAATTTGAATTTGAATATTGTAATGGCTTATGACAAAAGTTGCCTATGCTGGTCCACGTCGTCGTATAGACCCTAATATAACGGCTACAATCGGTATTTTTAAGATTTTAACAGATTTTATTTTTTTGAAAATTGCCAAATTCGTTCCAAATGATGGAGGGTATTCAAAGTTCGGCCCGACCGAACTTACAGCTTTTTTATTTGTTTTATTTAATTTCTTTAAAAGTTGTGCTGCTTATGGCAAAAATTTATCAAAAAAAAAAAAAAAAAATGAAAAATGTCAAGAAAACATTTTAAGAATATGGTCGTGGAAGATGTACCAACAAAAACAGTTCATATGTAAATTTCTCATTGTACACATACAGTAGGTTCGGTTGTTTACTTTCCCAGCAACTCATAGCGCGAGAGTACATAAAAGGCTTTTTTTAAAAGGCATAAGTCATAGGCGTAGAGGAACAATGGAGTTTTAGGTTGACTTAGTTCGATTTCGGCCATAAACTTGTGTTATTTTCCGAAGAAGCCAGATGATGACTTAAGCCAGTCAGAAAAACGTTTTATGCTCTCTCACCTTTACTCAGTAAGAAGTTATTGAGAAAAATACGATTTTTTGTCCACTGACATTTGTGAGATAACAGCTGATTTACCGATTTCAATCAATATTTTCATGCAGCTTTTTTGTTTTTACTTTTTATTACAAACAAGAAAACATCATCATCTAAGCTTAGGTGCCTTTTTTTCTTAATAAATCTAGCATAAGAGCTTAATGAGAACTACTACACTATACTAAGTACGGAAACGTAATGCATAACACAGTAAATTTTCCCAAAACCAAAATGCAATTTTCACACAAAGAATAGAACAGAAAGTTCAGTTTTAAGTCAATAATTAAACCAGTAAAGAAAGTCTTAAAGTCGGGCTGGGCCGACTTTATGATACCCTACACCACTTTGCTAATTTTGTAGAGCTCCACATAACCATTATAAGATTTTATGGGAGAATTTGATCATACACGCTATGATTATAATTGTAATTTAAAGTTCAAAGGACTAAATATGCCGAAACATTTGTATCTTTTAAATTCGGAATTGTATTGTCCATTTGGTGCACAATTAATTTGAAATCGGATAAAGATATATATGGGAGCTATATCCAAATCTGAACCGATCTCGATAAAATTTGGCAAAGATATTTCTGAGCTGTATTTGATATATTTCCCTGAATATCGTTGTTACGGAGTGCATGTTACAAATATGACAAATCGGATGAACAGTATATATGGGACCTATAGCTATATCTGAACCGATCTTCACCAAATTTGACATACTAGCTTCTTCTTCTTCTTCAATTCGGTCTTAAGTGCCAAATTCCATCCCATTTGGACAAATATTAGACGTTTGGTGCACAATAAATGGTAAATCGGACGAAGTTATATATGGGAGCTATATCCAAATCTGAACCGATCTCGATAAAATTTAGCAAATGTATTTCTGAGCTGTATTTGATATATTTCCCCAAATATTGTTGT